CTTCCTTTCTCTTCACTTAAGAAAAAAAAAAATTGAACCACAATTCATAAACTAGTCTCTAGGCCCTTTATACACTGAAAAGAATTTGTTTCCAAGCAGGACAGCTTAGAGAAGTGTGGGAAGCTTGTGAACCAAGGAATGGAATGTTCCTCTCATGGACTTCAAGAGAAGGGTGTCTGTGTTGGACCCTTAGCCTTAAGTGCTCACAGCAAGCCCACAAGGAGGTGTAATTGTGTCACATCTACAGATGAGGCAATGGAGGCCTAGAGATGACAACTGCTTTGCAATGGTCACATGACCTGCATTTGGGGGCGTTGAGATTCAAGGCCAGATATCTCCAGCCTTCAGTGCCACATGGCCCCCACAAACTGCTCTCAGGGTCAAGCAGTGATGAAACAGGCAACTCTTCTTGACCCCATGCCAACCTCAGAGGTCATCACCTTTTTTGTTTTTATATCAGTATAAATTGAATGTGTAAAAATTGCCATTCTTCTTCATTCTGGCAAATCCTCAGAATTATGGAGGAGTTATTTTGGAAGAGTTGTCTGGCCTTGGGCAAAGTCACGCCAATTTTCAGCCATGGTTTTGCCATCTGTGCAATTAAGATAACACCCACTCACTGGTTGCTGGGCAGATTAAATGAAAAAATAGTAAAAGAGCTTATCATCTTGTCAGTGCTTAATAATTGTAGGTCCTATTATTAAATAAATGGTATTTGAACAGTAATGTATCTGTTGAATATGTGCCCTGTGTTTGGTGCTGAAATGACTCTGTATCTAATTCCCCACAACCTGGGTGGTAGATACTACTTTTACAGAAGAGGAAACTGAGGCTCAAGGAGGTTACATAGGAAATGGGATGACTGGGATTTGAACTCACACACACTGAATTTTGAGGGCATATTTTAACTATCATGCTACCTGACCCTCCAGGAAATAAGCATGGATAGACATTTCATGTGGCCAAGGCTGATCTTGATGACTTGCTTTTGTTTTATTAATCCCCATCAAACTCCTTCTTGGGAAATGAATGGTGTTTGTGTGAGCCTCACTCTCTTAAGGATACTACACTCAGAAAACTCCATCAATTGTTTGCAGTTTTGCCTTCTCCTCATAAACTCTCAAAAGCAAGCCTCATGAGGTCACCAGAGCAAGTGGCAGATGTGATGCTCCTAGAAACTCTTTTTGTGCCTGATTTCTCCCCAGAGAGGGCCTTGCTCCTCTGGTTACAAGGTGACAGGAATAAAAACTCAGCTAAGAAGGCCTCCACTGATTTTTCTTCATTATTTATTTGCTTCTTTATTTGCACCTCTTCCAGAAAAAAATGGAGGTAGAATTTTGCATCAAAGATAGCCACCAAAATATCTATATATTTCATCTAGACTACTTCCCACTTCCAAGGCAACACCCAAAGCTACACTGTGTTCTAGTAAAAAGCCTGCTCGGATTGGCCAGAGTCAGAGAGGCGGTCTATTAAAAAAAGAACTGGTGTTGCCTCGGAAGTGGGGGGTAGTCTTATACAGCGAACATAGGCCTAAACCTATGTTTTAACTGTAAAATTAAGGGGTCGTCTTATACACCGGAAAATACAGTGTGTGTGTGTGTGTGTGTGTGTGTGTGTGTGTGTGTGTGTGTGTGTGTGTATCATGCTATCATGCTATCTTACCCTGCTCAGTGCCCACAGAATAAAGAGGATATCAAGGTTTCCTGGACTTCTCCAACAGAAGAGGCTTCCAGAAGGAGGCGCTGTGGGACACCTCTGACACATGGTGTAGGGCTCACACCAAGGCCCCGTGCACAGAAACACTTTCTCCATTTTTTTTAGCTGCACCTCTAAAGGAAGGGAGGACCCAAGGAGAGAGGAGGGAGGGAGGGAAGGAAGAGAGACCTCCTCTTCATTGTCATTTCTTGTTATTAGGAAGCAGATTCTTCCATATCAATTCTGAACCAAGTGCCCCTCTGAGAACAAAGAGAACCAAGCATGTCCTGGCTGCCTTTGGGATGGCTGGCTCTGTAGGACTGAGGGCAGGGGCTGTGCACAGGCCATGGGTTCTGTCTGTGGTTCAAGAAGGGCTGTCATGGCAACAGTCAATGTCAAGTGACTGGGGCTCCCCCGGTTCACGTGGCTAATATTTCCTGTGCTCTGAACTCGGAGTGGAAGGATAAAAAATAAATATCACAAAGCCTGACTTCAAAGAGTTCCCAGTGACTGGAGAGGCAGGCGCACAAATGGATATCCTATAGCAGGGGTCGGCATACTCATTAGTCAGCAGAGCCAAATATCAACAGTACAATGACTGAAATTTCTTTTGAGAGCCAAATTTTTTAAACTTAAACTATATAGATAGGTACACTGTTATGTACTTAATTAGGGAACTCATACGCTGGCATTTGCTAAGAACATCCTCAATCTATAATAATTGAGCTATACTCAAGGGGCCAAAGAGCCGCATATGGCTCACGAGCTGCAGTTTGCCGACCACTGTCCTAAAGGATCCATTAACACTTTCTACCACTATCTAGGGAGCACCTCCTCTGTGCCAGGCATCGTGCCGCATGACAGGCATTCAGAGTGACCCTGAAGCTTGGAGTCTTAATTTCGGTCTACTATTTAGGATGCTGTGAGAGCTCAGGGGAGAGTTTCTACTCAGACGTAGAAAAATCCTGGAAAATGGTGTGGAGATGCAAGACAGAAGGGGGTAGAAAGGGAGCTCTTTGAAGAAGGAAGAGCATGATCAAATGCACGTTGGCATGAAATGTTTTATACCTAGGACACTACAAGGCTGGGTGTGTGTGTCCATCCTTCAGTGGTTGGTCCTTGAGATTGAACTTGGAGCCCCTGGAGCACGGGCGATAGCAGCGCCATGGGAAGCTGATGGGCCAGTCCAGACACAGCTCCTGGAGGCCCTGAGGAGAAACATGTACCTGGGCATACCCTCTTTTACATCTAGTCACGGTCATCCACATGTCCTCCCATGCAAGTTCCCTGGAGATAAATCTCACACCCCTGGTGTGCAGTCTGTGCTCATAGCGTGTTCTGATAAACCCTTTAAAGAGCAGCTTTTTCAATTGGGGGGAGGAGAGGGGACAGGGGAATATCTGTAATATTTTCAGTGACAAAGATACATTAAAAAAAAAATAGCAGCTGTGGGGGTTCAGAGATAGATCAAGATTACACAGTTATCGAGAACGTGGCAAGGTTTCCATGCAGGGAGATATGTCCCCCCTCTCTCCTCATGGACCAAACATCTCCTTTCTTCTCTCAGACATCAGTGCAGGCCAGGCTCACATTGTCGTACTTGGTCGTCACTCAGCTCTGTAGGGTCTGTGCAGTGGCCCCTGTTTTGCCAATGAGGTGCCTGAGGCTTGGAGATCTTCACTAACCTGCCCAAGATCTCTCTGTCCTGATAGAATCAAGACCAGATCATAGCTACGTCTGCTTCACACCTGCTTCTCTGAGACTCTTCACACATGCATCCTTGGCGTTCAGGCCTCAGCTCAGACGGGAACTCTCGATCTAAAGAGGCCACCGCACTTCCTTTCATAGCACCAATCCTGTCTGCCGGGACAGCCCAGCTTCTTCTTCATCTGCCTCTCTCCGCTAGCTCCACGAGGCAAGGACCTCTTTGGACTCCTTTACTGCTCTATCCGTGATGCTCCAAGCAGAGCCTGGGACATGGAAACCCAAGCAAATGGTTGCTTCGTGAACACAGCCATCTGGCTGGCCCCCACGCCCGGCCCTCTCCACTCTCCTGGTACAGCGCAAGCTGGTGGCCAGTGGCCCACCGGGAGCTTGTGAGGAGCTCCTGGTGACTGCAGACCACCTTTCTGAGTCCAGGACTTTCTGGGCTTTTCATGGGTCAGAGCAAGCAATTGCATAGTTTCATTTCTGCTTCAGTAAAAGGACTGTCCAGCAATATTCTGTGTGACAAACATTTGAGATTCATAAATGAACAGTTTTCGCAGCTTGTGTTTCTGGATGATTCAGATTCATTCTTCTTTCTACCCTTGAGTCAGCCTTAGGGTTGCACTGACCTCGAACACTCATCTTTGCAGAGTACGGAAAGCTCACTGTTGTCAGCAAGCACTGTGAGAGGTCGCTGTGAACGTTGCTCTGTATTGGCTCTGACTTTTGGTCGTTCGTATTGCTATTTCAGTCCGTTCATGTGTACACGCACTCATGGTGTTTATGTTGGTTAATTGCTGTGTTTCGTGTGATGCCACCTTAATTGTGATTTTACTCCTCTCTAACACTTTCTTGCCCCCAAATTATTTTTTCCACTAAACATCAGTGAGGACCATCCACCCTAGAAAAGTGCTCACAGTCCCGAGTGTTTGGGAAAGAATTCTTGCACCCTACCTCAGGACCTCACTGAGTTTCTTGAACCACCATTTTTTGTTTGTTTATGACAAGGCGTGTGCGTTCCTAAAAGTCAACACCCTAGGTAAAATGAGGAAATTGGGTGAGGGGCACAACCCTCAGAGACATCACCAGTGACACATAAAAAGGAATGAAAGGAAAAGCATTAGCACAGTTTCACACGGTGTCCTGGCTGAGAAGCACAGGTGCTACAATAAGTATGTCATGTGACCTTGAAGAGACGTGGCCTTTGCTTGTGGAAGTGGCCGTGGGGAGGGTTGTGGCTTATGCATTACTGTGAACAGGTGGGAGGAGGGTGGTCTGAATGGGATGGAAAGTTGTAGCCATGGATGCAGTGAGTGCAGCTCCTAACAGGGTGGACCAAGAGCTGGTTGATGTTCAAAGTGTGTCCATGTGCACGTGTTGTACATTCCTAAATGGCTCGCTTCTGCTGGGCACAGATTCCTGCCGTCGCCTGGTATTTCTCAGTGAGGCAGTTTTGCATATGGGAAGTTCCTGTCATCCTCGGATTACTCCCTCATATGTTAGTTGTGTTGGAACAAGCTCATATATTGAAAGCAAGTGTCCTAGCAGAACTGGCTGTCCCTGATGAACTTTTCATCCTTCTCTTGTTTATTCAGACTGGACCAAGAGGATTGAGTACCAGCCCGGCTCGGGAAGCATGCCCCTGTTCCCGGGCATCCACCTGGAGACGTGCGACGGGGCCGTGTCCTCCATCCAGCTTACCACGGAGCTGCAGACCAACTACATCGGGAAGGGGTGTGACCGGGAGACCTACTCGGAGAAATCCCTTCAGAAGCTGTGTGGTAGGTTTCCCCCTGTGGAGGGTTCCTTTAATTAATTGTTTTTAAATGTTATATACAAAGCATATCTGATTATAGTATGAGAGTATCAGCCCTTCCCATCGTGCTGTGACTCCTGGATGAATATTGAGTTTATTTGGTGTGGTTGAAGCCGTGGTCGGCAGACTGCGGCTCGCGAGCCACATGCGACTCTTTGGCCCCTTGAGTGAGTGTGGCTCTTTCCCAAAATACCACGGCCTGGGCGAGACTATTTTGAAGAAGAGACGATAGAAGAAGTTTAATTTTAAAACATTTGGCTCTCAAAAGAAATTTCAATTGTTGTACTGTTGATATTTGGCTCTGTTGACTAATGAGTTTGCCAACCACTGGGTTAAAGGGTCAAAAGGCACAGCTTTTGGCATCAGGCACATCTGACCCCGCTGTTTACCCATTGTGTGGGGAAGGGAGGTGACAAAGCCTCTATTCTTTTTCAGTAAAACGGGGATTAATGACACAGTGTGTTCCAGAGCACCTAGCGCAGGTCCTGAAGAAATACGGCTTTCTTCCCACTGTGCCCGTTTATAGAGGCACCTGACAACATGAAGGGTGCTGTCAGTGACCTGGGGAGAGGTTGGCCTCCTCCCCACAGGACCAGCACATCATTTGCAGGGCCCAGGGCAAATGGAAATGTGGGGCCCTTATGCAAAAAATCCTGAAGAATTTTAATAATGAAACCACAAAGCATTCAACCAAGCTGGGGGCTCTGTGAGGCTGCCCAGGTCAAATGTCAGTAAAGTCCAGCCTGGCTGCCCACGTCAGAGAAGAAGGCCTTGGGTGGGGAAGGAGTGGGCAATATGAAGGTGTCCAAGTGTGGGGGAGGGGCCTACCTCTGTGAGCAGGGAGACGGTGCCACAGGAAGGAGCAGGCCGGGAGCTAGGACAAGGGCTGAGAGAGGGGTGCTACCCAAGTCACTTCTCTTTATTAACCTGCCAGACTTTTCACATGCATCTCTTTTTTTTTTTAATACATTTTATTGATTTTTTACAGAGAGGAAAGGAGAGGGATAGAGAGCTAGAAACATCAATGAGAGAGAAACATCAACCAGCTGCCTCCTGCACACCCCCCACCAGGGATGGGCCCACAACCAAGGTACATGCCCTTGACCAGAATCGAACCTGGGACCTTTCAGTCCACAGACAGACACTCCATGCACTGAGCCAAACAGGCTTCGGCCACATGCACCTCTTTATTGACTTCTCGTCCTCATTGTGAGAAGGGTGTTCTTCACTAACTTTAGAGATGGGACATGTGAGGCCCAGAGAGGTCACACCGATAGAAAGTGATAGAGCCAGAATGTGAAGGCGGGCCTCTCAGAAGGAAAGTCTCTTTAGCTCAGAACCTGAGATTCTAGGCCAGGCCTTGGGAGCTAGGAGGAGGACCTGTCCCGTCAGCCTGTGGAATGAGAGGATGCTCAGGATGGTGGGGATGGTGCCGTAGACGTGGTGAATGAGACTGTTGGTGTGTTGATGGGCCTCTTTCATCCCCACCCGAATACGTATGTGTTATTTCTTCTTTGTTCTCTTCAAAAAACGCTCAGGAACTCACTTTGACTCTGAGGCAGTGCTAGGGGGAGCTTAGTCTTACACCAGGCCTGTATTCGGGGGCAACTACATTTCCACAAAGGAATGTGGGCTCCTGAGCACAGTCCAGCCTGCCATCCCCTCCTGGGGGTCCCTCCATAACTGCCTTTGGAACATTTTCCCCAATCAACATGGTTACACACACACACACACACACACACACATACACACACACACACACCTTCATCAAAATTGCTGGTTGCCCAAAGAGCCAAGGGAAACTTTTGCAGCTGAATGTGAAATACACCCCGTTTGGGCATCACCGTGTTCCATCTATTATGTCACCAGGCCAGCAAGGAAGGCCTGCAGGGACACAGACTTCTCCAGAATGATGGAGCTGAGCAGGGCCATCCCCACATCCCAAGCAGCCCTTGCAAAAATGGAAGTAAGGAGCCCGCAATATTCAGAAAACTGCCTCCAGTCCTCTCCCCCGCTCTGCAGACAGAGAAGCCACTCCAGACATCTTACTTTGAATGAATATCCCATTCTGCTCCCTGTGCGCCTAAATTATGAATCCATTCAACCCCGCTGCCACCCTGTGGGGCCCAGCCATTTCCTAAACTCCTCCAGGTCGCCAGTCGGTGATGGAATCGGCTTGTTAAAGATCAGGAGGGCCCAAGGGCACACACTTGTGATTTGATCTTGAGCGCTCCTGGGTGAGATGAGGAGATATGGGGAGTGAGAAGGTTTTTCTGTGGGAAGAAACTTGAGCTCAAAATTGCATCTGGTGTTCGCATGGCTCATTCCCCTGGGCTGCCAGCTCTCCTTGCAGGGGTGGGGAGGAGAGAGGGAGAGACAGGTTAATTCAGCCAAGAAAGCAGTTTCCCGAAGGCGCGTGCAAGATGACCTGGCGCTCAGGGAGACCCTTTGTTGGGAGAAACCCACATGTCTCTTTGGTGACCTTCCCAAGAGTGCCACCCTCCGCGCTGATGGGAAGGAACTCTGTCTGAGCAGCCTTGATGGGCAGGGCCACGCCAGCCTCCCTGTTCCGAGTCTGGTTCTTGAATTCCGCTGAGGTGGAGCTCAGGGAAAAGGGCAGAGGCAAATGAGTGGGACTCAGATGCCCATCTGGTGGGAGAATCTCCTTCAGAAGGAGGCAGCGCTTTCTGAAGTAACTGCCAGCGAGGGAAACGCAGGCTGGTGGCTCCCAAGCAGAGCCTGGGTCTCTGGCCCCTGCAGGAATCCGAGGTGCTGGAGACAAGCCTCTGTGTGCCTCCAGTGGATGGTAGGTGAGTTTCTCACGGGGTCTCTCAACCAGGGAACTGCCATGAGCCTCCGCATTCATGCCTATTCTGTTCTAATCTTTATTGACTTTGTGTGGAAACAGGGAGACCAATTAGGATGTGATTGCCACAGTCTGAGGAAGAGATAATGAGTTTGGAACCAGGGCAGAGGCTGTCGGGATGAATTTTAGACAAAAGTTAGGAGGCCAAACTGGCAAGATTGAACGATTCATTGGTTGTCAGGAGTGAGCAAGAAGGCGTCTGAGATGACTCCTGGATGAGCAGCTAGCTGGATGAGTGCCTCCCATGAAAGCCAGGAACCCAGGGCAAGAGCAGAGTTGGGGGCAATGGTGGCAGGCAACCGTGGAACCTCTAGGTGGTGCCTCGCTCTAGCCTTACCCTCAGTCCTCCTGAAGACCTGCTTCCACCTGCCCATCCATCCTCACGGCCCATTTCCTCCTGATGCTCTGCCTTCTTGGCCAGCATGGCTCCTTTATCTCTGTGCCTGGCTTGTTCCCGTCCCTAAGGCTCATTCGTGTTTCCTTCTGCTAGGATGCTCTCTCTCCCCCTTCATCATTCTATACCCTTCCCTTTAGTCAGTATTCTCCTGCCCTCTGTGGTCACTGGGGGCCGAAGGGGTGAGGGGGGCTCTCCTGAGAACTTTCCCTTGTGCCTTTGTATTCCTGCATCTCTTCTCTGCTGCTGTGGTTGTACAGGGACCCAGGCAGAGGTGTCTCCTCAGAGGAACCTGGATGTCTGGTCACCGCCCACCTGCTTCCTCCGCCTGCAGCATGGGCTCCATGAGGAGCAGTGATCGAATCCTGGTTAGGGGGAGTCAGACAGTAACTGCACAAAGTCTGCCGTCAGGGGGGACCTGGCAGGTACTTGAAATGGCCTCTCTGGGTTTTTTTGTTTATTTGTTTGTTTTCATTTATCTTTATTGCTCAAAGTATTACCTATGTCCTCTTTTTTCTCATGGACCCCTTCTAACCCAAAACCACCCTCCACCCTGGCCTTCACCACGCTGTTATCTGGGTCCATGAATAACGCATATTGCATATATGTTCTTTGGTTGATCTCTTCCCACTCACCCCCCACCCCTGCCTTCCCTCTGAAACTCCACAGTCTCTGTTCCCAGTGAAGTGCCCGGGAGCCTGAATTAAGTGGTCTTAATTAAGTGCCAGGAGGCAGGTGTATTGCTGCCTGAGGTTTGTACACTGAGACTCTCCCACTCTGCCTTGAAGTAAAAATAACCAGGGCTCCGAACCCATGCCCCCTTCATCTTGTGGGGCTGGACGCAGTCCCTGCTGCCCTTGCTTTGCAAAGAGCTAGGCTTCCGGGAGAAGTCAGGCAAATCGCATATCACTTCCTCTTCATCCCGAGACTTAAGATGAAGGTCTCTGGCACCTCAGCCCCTGGCTCTCCGGAGGTGACGTGTCACGGAACTGCCCTGAGTATGAAACGCGTGGGAAAGCCTTTGGGAAGACAGACCTCTTGGCCAAATTAAATCTGACATTAACCACGGCCCGAGAAGAGCCTGCTCCCATGACCTTCCGTCACCACCCATCACGGTAAACAGAAAAGCAGTGTGTGACGCACATGCCTCCGGGGCCCCGAGGCCAGCGGCGGCACCTCCCGCACCCGTCACCCCGCAGCTCTCTGTACGTGGAGGGGTGAACTGGGAGGACGGGTCTCACGAAGGAAAGGCCACAGGATAAGAGCTATTAATTCAAGCAATGGATCTTTCAGAGCAGCTCAGGCCGCTGGACATGAAGTCGTTCTCAGAATTCACACGCTTGGGAACTGGGAGGTTTTCATAGAGGATCCATTCATTCACTCAAGTATTTGTTAATTCAGCAGTTATTTGTGCAGTGTCCACATGCTGTACCTCTTGAGGTTTCGTAAGGTAAGGAGACCACTCAATCCAGAGAAGACAGACTACATATGGAAGATTATTAGTTCACCGAGAATCACCGACAGAGGCTTTATACCCTCAGAATGGCCCAACCACAGGGAGTGTAGTCTCCAGCGCACCCTCTAAGAGCCAGGGCTTCCAAGGGACAGTGTTAGCCCCTAGTCATAGCCAGTGCTTCTATTCCCAGAGGGCCTCTGACTTAAGGAAAACTTGTGCACATCCTTTGGGAATCTGATTCAATCACGA